AACAAAATTATAATTTGGAGAGTAACTTTTTGAAATTTTTAAGCCTCTTAATTTTTACAGCAAGCACACCTTTATTGAAATATTAAATAGAAAAGAGGAAAAGAAACTAACAGTAATTAGACAGAATGAAACTGTGTGGAAAAATAGGAAACACAAAACACTTGAGGCTTATATAATCTTGAGGCTAGGAATGCAAGTTCTTTTTACCCAGTTATAAATAATTTTCCAGATTGGAAAATTTGATATTTGTTCTTTTTTTTTCTTATTGATCTATTTATTTGTTTCTTATCAATGTATTTAATTATTTACTTTAGAAATGCCACCAAATGGCTGCAATTTATCTGCAGAGTCACCCGTCACCCTGGAAGACTCATTTGTAAGTCAATCTTTCAATCACTGATGGTTAAATATCAATTTATCCACACATTGCTATTATCAAATTCAAATTGGATTTGATACATTTCAAGCCAGATTTTCTAATGTTGCAGGGTATACTATAATATAAATAGATAAGGGGATAAATGTGGTCCTGTGTGGTTGGGAATATAGATTAGACACTTAATTGGAATTGTTGATGATTTGATAAAACCATACCAATTGCTCCTTTTTTGGAGAAAGTAGTTCTGACAATACTGAATTGCATTTTGAACATATGGTAACATCAGCAAATGATGAGGAAGTGACAACTGCGAATGAGTCTTTACTGGGAGGGTCCTCAGCCATAAGCAGTGCAATTGTGAGGTTGGTGTTCATGTTCTTTGTCACTTGGGAAACACTTCAAAATGTACCTAACTCAGCTATCAGCATTTTGTTTGATTTCTCTAGGAAGTTGATAAACCTCTTAGCAACAGTCTCCCAATCAATGATAATTAGGGAAATTTCTATCCTCTTTCCTCATTCTTTGAACAAAATAAGAAACTATCTTGGAATAATAGGGATGACTTGCATTAGTCAAACCTGAACCACATGCGTTATACACTTATGAATTATAGCAACAAATTCATCACTGAAGAGGTTTTTTCTTGGCTCCAGTTGCATGGTTTTTCTTTCTGGAACTTAAGAAAGGATAGGTAGGCAAAGAAATTTGCTTAACAACACATTGTAACTTTACATACTGCACACACACTTGACTGCTCCATTGATCTTTGTTTGTATCTTATATTGTAGAAAAAGATGGTTTCGATAGCCAATATCTCCTTGCCTTGGCCCAAGATGCAGACCAACTAAGGCAGTACTTCCCTATCATAAAAGAGTGTCTGAAGTTTAAGAAATTGATTGCAATGAACCCTGAAGCTAGAGACAACACAAATTCTGTGTAGGTAAGATAATTAATTTTCTTGCTAGGGAATTTGATGCATGCGTGGCTGGCCTTTTCTCCTGAGCCTCGTTCAGTCTCAGTGGCTTCACGACTAAGGTTATGTGTTCTCATTTTGGTCCTAAGAGATAGAGATGGTTACAGTTCAAAAAGGATACTGCATTTGCACAAGATGGACTTAAATCATTTCAAGATTCTCAGATTTAGGATCTCAGTCTGAATTCTTAATTTTTTTCTTGAAAAAAGTAACTGATGTTTTTGTATGTCTTGGTTTGTCTCTACTTCAGCTGAGTTTTTAGCTCTTTCTCTCTTGGTGTGCAGAATCAAGATCATAGAGTAAGACATTTCAAATGTCAATTCATGATTCAGAGAACAACAGGAAGGATGAAAATAAGAAGTGACATCATCACCAAAAGAAAAGGGCAAATTGCTAAAGGATCTCTGTTTTTTGGCCAATTCAACAGAACTGGGCATTGTCAAGTAAGTTCCTATAGGATAAAGTTCGCAGGATCATGAAGAGTACATTATCAATTCCTTTCTTTCTATTTTATGCCATAGGAAAACACACAACGAGCCATTTGGTAAATGAAGAAGGAGAAATGTCAAGGAATACACCCATCAAAAATGGTGAGATTTGCTATTCTTTCAATGAAACATACTAGCTATGCATTACATGCACTATGCTTAAAACAAAGAGATACTAATGTGTAAATCTGGTAAATTAAAAAATTAGTGAATTGATAGGGTGTTATCAGACAGTTTAATTTTTTTCTGAAAACAAATCTTTACCTATAGATTCCTCCTGGATGGCTTTCAAAATTCCAGCTACCATCAAGGGTAAGAAACTTTTCTTTGTTTTTGTTTTTCAAGTCTACAATTAACCCTTCTTTATTTATGAATACTGTACTTAAACTGAAGTACACAGAGTTATGATTTATTTTCTTGATAAGTACATAATTATATAGTTTAGTGATTATGTTTTTTCTTTGTATGCACAGTTTGTTTACCTGTATGGAAACTTTGTAGTTGCAAAAGATTACTGTTCTTCAACAAAAAATTAATTTGTTCATCTGTTCATTTTTTGTACAGTTGTCTGCCTCAGTAGAGTTGGGTATCCAGGAGGGATATCTCACTGCAAACCAATGGAGCGAATTAGTGCAGAATGTTTCTAACAGTATCAATTACTTTACCAGCAAACCAAAGCGCTCTGAACAGCAGTGGATTGCAAAAAAATTATTGCAGAGTATCCTTGTTTGGCCAGCAAAAAAACGATTTTGTGGCACTGCATGTCTTGCCATAAACTAAAAAGGTTCAGAATAATCACTCTGATTATTTAAGTTCATGAACTTTGTTCTTGAGTGTTTGCCATCACACATGCTACACAAAAATACTAAAGAACAGCTAAAGTTACTGAGCCCATTTGTTTATGAAGTCCCAATACAAAGGTTCGAGTACTTTGGGGTTGTATTTCATTTTGCCTTCTTTTTTCCAGTTTTTTTGATTTAGCAGTCTTTTTTTAACTTCCTGTGGTCAAACCATTAGATAAATATTGCACATGGAATAGTTGATTCTTTTTTTCAATGGTTGAACAGTGCAAGCACTATTTGAGCAAGCATTGCTTGAAATTGGGTGCAGGCAGACTCTTGCCACTGTTTCCTCCTTTTTCAATGACTTGGAAAATGCTTGAGGTGGTAATTGCTGAAAGTTTATGTTTTGATAATATCTAAATTAGCAATATGAGTGCATGTATTCTCACATCCAGTGGAAGAATACTCAATGCTGCTCTAAGACTCAGTTTTTTAGATGCACAAATCAAACAAAATCTATATTATTTTGCAGGAGCAGGACCATTTGTTGCCTTTGTGTTATTTTGATAATTTTCTGTACTTTAAAAAAAATTAAATCAGTCTTGATTATAAGCTGCCTCAAATTATCACATTTGCTAAGTCATTGAAAAGGGAACCTTTTCTCACAAGTATCTCTTGGGTGTAATTTCAAACAATGCTTGCATTGTTGAGAAGTATATATTGATTTAGCAAAGATATCAATGTTAGAAAATGATTGAATGAATGTTAAATATGTATGTATGTTGTTCTATCCTTTCACATGATGTTTTAAAGTTTGTCTATTTTATACCACAATTGAGTTTCTTAATAACTGTAAAATCTTGCACTGTAAAAGATTTTTACATAAGCAATATCTAGAACCTAATAACTGAGCGGGACACAGTGTCTGACACAAAAAGGAGCGGTCAGAGAGCCAGCAAATAACCGTCGAAAGGTCGACGTAGCCGTTCAGAAGAAAATATAGAAGTGAAGTTAAAATTATTATAACAAAGTCATGCCAGTTGAGACTGATGAGCGTGACTAAGTATATATGTAGGACGCGCTCTAGACACTTCAGCAGTGGAAGCGTGCGTAAAGCGATTATCTATCCATTACAAATTGTCCTTATCTACTAAGTGCTAATACATACCTGTACAGTTCTTATGATTCACAAATTGACTGCTTTCCTTTCCCGTGTAAAGATCATCTACAACAGAGCAGACAGCCGATAGACCCAGCCAACCGAGTCGTTTGATAATAACTCAGTTATACTTTTAGACTTGATTAAACCTTGTTGATTAAACCTTGCGCCAGAGATACTATTCGTCTGCGCTAATATTAACATTTAGGCACAATAGTTTCTAAGTATAAAAACCATCTAGTGGTTTACGTATAGCTAAAAAGAAGCTCGCTTTAGGAGCTGCATGACTTTCCTGTTACGCATCTACAGGCGCATCAAATTGATTGAGATCAAATTTGACTTATTAAGTATCGAACCCGAACCAAAATCCTTTCCAATAGACCCCCTAGAATCAAGGAATCCATTGAAATAAACTATTTTCTAAGCATGCTAACAATGCTGCACATCTCATGGCTATCAGAAAAGTTCACAAAAGGACATGCGTATTGCCTGATTCAGCCTTATGGCTTGGGAAGGCGTCTATGGCCTATAGTGATATTTCTTCCACCCTCGTAGCATCTAAACGTTCAAGACCATAATAGTTATGATTTTATTTTAGAAGTAGATGCATGAGAGAAATCAGCACCGTGTATCTAAGCAAAGTAGGTTTGCAAGCAGATAAGCAAAGTTAATTAACCTTTTCATGTGTAATGTTACGTGTGAGTGAAGTCAGAATAACACATTTGTAGCGGAGTAGGATCTGGAAACGCAATAATCAGGAGACTATGCTGTTTTCCAATTTATTAGCTATTAGGAATTGTGTTTAAAAAAAACTGATTAATTGAACGATACAATGCCAGGTTGAACTGTTCTCGTTAGTTACAGTCAAGATTTATCAAAATTATACCAGCACAACCTTTTACAGCGATGAACAAAGGTTTGAAATTGTTTACTGAGGTACTGCATTAAAAAGGTATAGTTTTTTATAACCCGACCCAATTAAACAACAACTTCCCAAAAGATTAGCTTTCAAAACGTTTTTGGATGAAAATTTCAGTTATTGAGATTAAATCATCAATCCTTTGCTCTTTTCGTTCTCATCTTTCTTCTTGGGTATAACTTTTAGCTCTCTTAAATTCTATTATAAAACCCTTGTCATTGTTCCCCTTACATTTTTTGCAGTAAGTAGTCTAGACATAAGCCTAGCACATTGAAATTTTAAGCACTTCCTTTTTCTCTATTACATCATAGTTAAGTATTCCTGGTTGTCATAGTCTTCTAAGTTCACATAGACCTTCAAATAAAATAAAACCAATACTTACTAAGGCAAATACTTCAGTAAAGAAATAAATGATATTGATGTCGATAAGATCTGTGTTCGGGGAGAACATTCTCATGAAGTGTTAGGATCACTTTGAGCGTTAAAATACAGGTGTTACAGGCCTCATATCAGTTGACCTCCACGAAGCCACTCTTAAGGAAGTATTTAGAAATGAAGTTTAACTGGAGTGGGAGAGGGAGGTAAAAGTAAGGATATAAGGGATAAAAAACATAACACCTATTAACGGTAGTGTTAATAGTTTTGTCGCCGATTGTTATTCGCCTGAGACCAAATAAGTTGTGTATAAAAACAAGGTTGAATTGATCTATTCCTCCCAATAGACAATCAGAAGACAGAAGTCATAATACATGTACGAAGGAACAGTGGAGAAGTATCTCCTTTCTATTTCTTTTCCAAGAATCATATTTCCCTCTTTCAGGAATATTTAGATGAATCTTCTCTTAAGGCTATACTATAGAAGGACAAATCGTTTTTGGACCACAGAAGTTCACGGTGTAACGAGGCTCTTCCTCTATTTTTAAAAAATCGAAAATCTGCAACAAACTAACCTGCTCGTCATCCTGAAGTCTTTTGACTGCATAACGAATCCACTTGAATGTTGGTCTATTTTGAGGCTGTTCGTTCCAACACTCCATCATTATGGCGTACCTAAATGTATAAGGGTATGATGAATGCGAAGTGAGCCTTACACTACAGAATTCAGCTCAGTGGCCGAGGAAACTTGCCACCATAGCTTAGAACTACCACCACTATTGTGGACAGCGGGCATCATGATTCAAAAAGTGAATCATAGTGGTATGTTCACGTTGAAAATCTGTTGCCTGAGGCTTATCGTCTCTAGGCTGAAAGGAAATTCGCTTTCTATTCATCCCCAGATCTTTCTCGAGATTAAACACTCGTGGTGGATTGGGATTTTAACATTTAAGACTCAAAATATTGAACTGCGGAATGGCTCCGACTATAACGAAACATTTCACTCAGTTTCTCTGAGACATGGTTCGGTTTTGGCATGCGGTATGCATCCTCCAACAAGGAAATGAGCTCTTGGACACTAACACCATGATATGGCGATCCCCCTGTTGGATAGAACATTGGTTATCATCATCTGTTTGCAGTATCTATTTAATATTACCGTCAGTATTAAACATAAAGGAAGACGGAGTGCTACAAAGCAGTCTAGATCAGTGTTCGCAAGGCGCAAGGGGCCAAACTGGTGCAACATTGATTACACAGCCTTTTCCTCCAGCCTTACTTCCCGTTTTTACACTCGCTTCAATTCTTTCAAAAATATGTTTTTTTGCCTTCTTGACATTGTTGATTTGTTATGTTTAATTTTTTGTATGTTTGTTTATTTTTCAATGCTTTTTATCGTTTTTCTACAATGTGCGACGTTTTCTTTTGTGAAAGAACAATCTCTTTCTGATTAAATTAACATACCGAGGGTAAACAGTTCCCACATTACAATGCCGTATGACCATCTGTATAAAGGAAATCAAAACACAATTTTTAATTAAATGACAGTTTAAGAGAGAAGACATCAATCGTTGCTGATTCTAGATAAAGAAATTATACTCGGACTTAAAGCTTAAACAGCTTTCAAAGAAAGCTCAAACAACAAGATGCCCGCAAAAGAAGTAAATTCATGAATCAAGAATGTGTGTTCTATATACTTCGTTTTGAACTTGACACTGTACTTATACTTGTACATCATATAAATGAATCAACCTACACATCACTCTTCGTGTCGACTCAACATTGAAAATGGATTCCGGGGACATCCATTTGATTGGAAGTCAGGCCTGAAAATTGAAATTAACTCATCAGCCAATTGTTAGAGCCATTCAGTTGGACGTTGGTGCTTTCGTTCGTCAATACTTTTTGTATTTACAGACGTCACTTTCAAAGGTAACATTTCACGAAGAATCACAGTATCCTTCATCGTGCATCTTAGTACTTGTAATTTTAGTAACCTGAGTCCTTCTCGTGTAGATATCTTCCTGCAAACTACGTGCCAGTCCGAAATCTGAAATTTTGCACACTCTGTTTTCTCCAACTAACACATTTCGAGCTGCTAAATCCCGATCAACGACCTTCAAAAAGCGAAAACAAAGTTGCCTTCTGTTTTTAAACCTCCAACAAAAAGATAGGGTTTTTAGCGGCTATAGAAAATGCAGCTGTTTTCTGTTAGTTGAGCTATACACTTTGTACTGCCGACATAATGAGGCGGGAAAAGCGAAAAGGGGAAGATATATCGTACATGGCGAATGAAAAAGTCATCATATTGAATGAGCCTAGCTGTAGAAAGATTCGCATTTCGTTTTAAGAATGTGCTATTGTCTGAGCTATTCCATGTGGCGTTCCATTCCCGAGATCTCTACTAAGAAGAACGCAAGAAAAATTTCCAAAGAAAAAAAAGAAAAGAATCCCAGTATATCGATTGAAAACTACATTTGGAATACAAAAAGATGTAACTAGATTTCCATTCCCTGTTTCCATCCATATTAAGTTTGAAAAACTAGTAAATAATGTCATTTTCTGGGGATGTTACCCCTTTAACCACTACTAGTGACTATCACTACTGAATCAAATACTAAGGTCATGAGAAGAAAGGAAACTATCGCCAGCTTATAAATAATTTCTTGATCACGAAACATGTTCCTCTTTCTAATATCATAGGAAATGTACACGTAAAGAGAACAGTGTGGAGAATATGCAACCAAACATTTAAGCTCACACTAATGGAACATGAGACTGCTCTGTGGTCTACAACGGCTAAATAAGTACGTTATTGACTTTGACACCAGATTTCTCACCTTCATTGATGCCAAATAATCCATACCATCAGCAATCATCCACGCGAAAGACAGGAGGTCCTTTTCTGTAAGAGCTGAACTTCGATCCTTTTCTCCTGTGTCATAATTGTCTTCAATTCCTCTGCTCTTACGCAGGTATCCCAACAAATCCCCGTATGGTAAATACTCCAAAACGATAAACACGGGATCTGCATTTATGAAAGTAAATTGATTGCTTTAAGTTGAGAGGGATAAGAAAAATGGAAGTGGTAGTGTTAGTGGCGGCGGCGACGACGATGATGGTGGTGGTGGTAGTTTGGTAGTTATTAGGGGATTCCCAAGCTATGAGGGCAAACTGGTTTTAGGACTATAAACCTGTAACAATACCAAATATGAAATGCTGACTACATTAAAATTCTTCCAAAGTTTGATTGTCCTAATCTTCTTTCAAATTGCACGATGATAAATCAATCATGATGGCGAAAGAAGGAGATTACGAGGCATCGACCTTTGAAAGATTACCGACTAGACAAATTGCATCGGAATGCAAAGTATAGAGTCGACAAAAACAAGTACAAGAAAGAGAAGCCAAAGTTAAAAAAAACGGAGAAGACCGAAGATGGAAAGGGAGAAGAGAGGGGGACAGAAAGAAATTCTATGACTAAAATAACTTTGAGAGAGATCAACAAACCAAAAAAAGAAACGAACAACAAAACGAAATATTACAAGAAAACATGAACAAAGCACCTTTCTCTATACAATGACCAATGTGACCAACGACGTGAGGATGATTCCTCAGAGATTTCATGACTTCCAACTCCAAAATGATGTTTTCTAGGTCCTCTTTTTCGGCATTGTCTATGACACATTAAAAACGAAAACATGCTAAACAATTGCTTATATATCAGGTGTGTTTGCGCGCGTGAAGCAAGATATAAACAAGTCGTGTTCGTTTCATTATAAATTGCTGACTCTTAAGGCAGGTAATGCTAAAAGAATTTGATGGATACAAATGACAATTTGTAACATTGTAAATCAATTGAATCTTTATTGATTGCTGTACAATCAACTCGACAGCCGTTTTGCTAATCCACTACAATACCAACATACCAGATTGAAGTTTTTTTGTAAACGCTCTGAACGGGAAGAAAGGTAAGAATCTTCTTTTAAGAGTAAGTAACGAGTTCAATGTGTTGCGTAAAATGTATCCAGAATTGCAAGTGTTCCTTGAATGACTGATATCAGGGAAGGCCACTCGTAGGAGACAACCGTAGAAGAAAACTTTCGAGAGTAACCAATCCGCAGATTTCCGATTCAGTCTTCTCGCTGTCAAGTTTTTCAGCTGGAAATGGGTGTTATTCCACTTTTGACACCATTAAAGAAGCCTATTATCATCTTACAACTGCGATCTCTATATGTCTTTTACCCTGTATTACTTTCACCCATACTGCGATTACAATGACAAAAATATGGAAAGGATTATGAAACGCTACCTTTCAGAGATTTTACGGCCACTCGCATCTGGGAAGGCCCGTAAATAGCCTTGGATACCTGGCCAAAGTTTCCGGTTCCAAGCAATTTTACGAGCTTCAGTTGTGGGCGGTCGAGCTCAAAACCATCCAAAATTTCATTTGTGGTTCGATCTTCAGCCACAACCAGAGGAAGCATTTGTACCGCTTGGAAAAAGTTAAGGACAAAACTACATAAATTCACTTTCTTCAAAGTGAAACCATTAAATGTTTATGAAGTTTGGATCGCCCATTTAATCGAGCCAAATGCCCCCTTCACCCCGAACCAATAATAGGGCACCCCATAGAAGGTGAAGCTATAAGCCTACCCTCTGAAAGACTCACCTTCCACGAAATCGTTCATGCGAAGTAGACCCATTTTTAAGAAAAATGTATTTTACGGATGTAACTGTAACTGCGATCGGCTTTTAAGTTATCATCAACATCATCATTATAATTAGCTTTATCATCAGTACCATCATTGATATCATAACTATTGTTTTGATGGTTATCATTTTCATCATTGTATCATATTCATCACTGGTGTTTTTCATCCTGATGATAATCGTGATGAAAATATTTCTAGGTAAGATAAGATGCGTGTCACTTGGTACGTGTAACATTTACCGTCGTGCTCTCTGCCCTAAATAGGCTGTCATTTGTACATCATTTTCTTGTCTTCGGAGGCGCCACCTGGGAAGAGACAAGGATTATCAAGATACAAAAAACGCATTTTCTTCCTCTTTTTCACTAAAAATCCTTGAAAATTTGTATTTTTCAGCACGAACACGCCACTTTATTAAAGGCAATGTTCATTGCTCTTCTGCGTTTGTCGAAGTTCTCACATGATCTGCCTGATTTCTCGCCGCAGGGTTGAAAAGCCTTTTCACCCACGTTTTCAGCTTTTCAAAGCTTGTCAGCGTTTGTATCACTTCTACCCTTACCTTTCAAAAGTGGTGTAGCAGAATAATAAAATGATCAGAACTATCAGCCCCACAAATCCATAGATGACGTTCAGATAAATTACATTCATGGTGTCTACTAAGTGAAATAAGATGCACATTTTGATTAGTTACAGTTACAATTAATTTATAATTTAGCATTTAAAGGAACTATTTCAGTTCAGGTGAGGGATTTCTCTTGTTGGACTTTGAGTAAAAGGAGAGAAATGTGTCTTAAAAGTCAAAGACAAATAATTGTAAACTACTCATCGGATAAACTTTAGGGATCAGCAACCGGTCTTTATATGACAGAATATAGATGATATCGCTGGGAAGTTTCAAGGTTCTGAGAGCGCTAACTGAAGAAAATTTGATTGTTTTAAAGTTATTCTTGTTAAAGTAAACAATCTACCTTTTTCCAGTTTTTCGGAAACTGTCTTAAATGAGGCTACAAAAAGATGGAAGAAGGTTGTTAGTTGCTGATGAGGCATAGTTGCCAAAATGTCTTTCAAAATTATACGTTAGTGATGACGATGCAATCTTCTGTTTCCATGTAGCAAGTAGATTGAATTACAGGCCGATCATTCAAACAAGGTTTAGACTGCGTTTAAGAATATAATCCAAGTTTTTATCCATGAATGTCAATTATATAATCGTTCCTTCCGACAGTTTCATTATCAGCTACTTTCGAATGGAGAGGATATCACTACGGTCACAATTTTATTTCTACCGGTGTAATCTACACTTTTCTTCTCAGAAAACTAATCTGTCCTGTTTCGCTGAATGGAACAGAGATATTTGAATGGTCTGGAGAATAGAGTTTTAAGAGGGACATGCCTTGTGAGCAATACATTGTGAAAGAGTCGCCCATCGTAATTCCCGTCCCGTATGAGCTAAATCCTTTACCAAGTATAAAGTGAAAGTTTTATAACTTACCTAATCCTTCAATCATTATGTTCAGTGTTGCGAAATTTCCTTCATTTCCATAAATTCTTTTGGCCACTTCACTTACTCTATTCTTGGCGAAGATTTTAAAAGTGTGATTGACAAATGAAGATAGCCCCATCACTATCACGTGGTTCATTTTCAAAACTTTATCTACGTCACTTGCGCAATTCTCACAAAGACAGTTGTCGACGTCATCAGCACTACATATTTTTCGTATGAGGCAGTTGACGTCATAAATCACGTGTGTCTGATCACCATTTTCTAATGGAGACTGCCATGCTATCTCAACTCCACTTTGGTTAAAAAAATGCAACCTTAACATCCCTCGGAGTTGATGGTATCACTATAGGTATGAAAAATCAAACTCGTATTTTACAGAGCGGAACTACCGTTGACCCATGCATTCACCCATTAACTGATATTCCCTAAAACTTAATGCATACGGTTCTGATAAAATCACTTGCAGTTTGTAGATGGATTTGCATTTTGCAGTGATATATGAATGCTAACGGAAAAGCGAAAGTCCTTCCGTCGTTTGTTTTGCAAATAAAAGGAAACTGAAGAAAATATTTGATACTTGACTTGAGCATGGACATGGCCAATTCCTCACCTGTGCAATTCAAACCATTCTGATCGTTGTATTTTCTCTCTGGGCAGTCTAGAACAAAAGGAAATTACGAACGTGGAGGTCATTCGACAAAATCAGAATTGCTTGCGAAACGATTTTTATCAAACCACTAAAATAAAATTTTCCGCGGTGGATATCTCCCTAGGAGACTAGGATGCCAAGTACTGGCCTTATCCAATTGTGCTTTATGTCTATAATCGCACTTTCGGAAAAAGAAATGTTCGGGGTTTCGCCCTAAGGCTTGCCTTAATCTATGAATTATACATATGAATGTCCATATGAATGTGTGACTTAAGCCTTGTCGTTGTTTTTCTTTTGCTAATGAATTTTAATTTGGTCATGATATACCTCTACATTCTCCTCCTGCATTTTCCATCTTCTCCTTGCATACACAACCTCCCTGAAGTAAGCTGATGTTCTAAAATCCATCACTTTGGCAGTCTAACATTACAGCACCTTGATAATGGACGGTGTTTACGACACATCGACCTTCTACTGGTTCTGAATTGTTTGCTGGAGCCATGGAACGTGGTAAGGACACCAAGCCAGTACCAACTGTAAATTCTGGACAAAAGAAATAACTGACAACAACAGAATAAATGACACTGAAAGAGCCCTGATTATGAAAAGCCAGCGTCATGTACCTTCCTTTCACTGGAATACCAAACGTTTTTGTTACTCTTTCGTAGACACCTGGGATCGATGCAGTTATCTTAGCAATCTTTGAATAAGTGGAATTGTTTCCTGGAGGTTCGGGTACCTCTTTATTCCAGGACTGATGCACGTAAAGGTCAAAAGATTCTCTAGAGAAATCATCTCCACCTAACATTGTACAGTTCTCTGAGTGGTACTGAATAGTAATGTAAACCTGTATCACTGCACCTGGGATTGTGATGGGATTACTTCTAAGCCAGACGTTTGGTTGTTGACCGCTGACAACGCAGCTCGTGTACATTGGGATTCCAATCGCGTTTGATGTTTTTTGCCACTATTCAGAAATAAAAATATTTGGTGATCTATGTTGTCTAGAAACGACGTCATTTCAATTTGATCCCTTTTTGGAACACCGGTTTTGTCGTCTACATGAACTACCGTCATCAGCCACTGTTCGCTATTTATCAAACGCAAAACATTAGATTGTATGATAGATGTAGCTCTCAGTCTTATATTGAGTAATCTTCTTGGAGAATGTAAGTTAGCCCAAAGGTCGCTTTCAAACTTGCGAGTCGCGATTTTTAAGCCGGCTGACTAATGGGCTCAATGGGATTAACCGTTAGCTGTCAACTGGCCAAAAACTTTTAATATCAACTGTTAAAAGTACAAGTCTTAAACCGTCTGTTGCCAAAGCTATACAAGTTTGACCGTCAAATCGCTCAGACATTCGATATCGATAACTATGGTGGGAGAGTGGAATTAATGTGTCTAGTGACTGGTTTGGATGCGTCCTAGTCATTTCTTTGTACATGGCAGAAGTGGTCTCGGAATCTGTTTTGGATGGCGACAGTTTTAGCGCTTAATTTCAGTTATATTTCAAGAATGTTGTTAACTGGTTTATACAGGTATTCTTGACATTGTATACTGCAAACAATAATGAAAACTAAGTCCGCAGACTACCGTATCAATTTTTTATTCTTAAGGTCGTCTGTTTGCCGAATTGGAGAAAGATTGTTATTATCTTCTATTTCTGAGTTCAATTCTGGAATGTTCGTAGTCTAGGAATCGTACTGTATAGTCAATAAAGTATATAAATGATATTAAATTTAATTTTTTTGATTGGTAGTACTGGGATAGATTCCAGTCTTCGAAATGGTTTTAAGCGTGGTATTTTTTAAAATTTTTTTTTACTTTAACATACTTTTCAAAAAGAGAATACCCAACAGGTCCACCTATCGGCCCTGAAGTTGTCCAGTAGTCCCACCTTTTCAATGTTGTCGGCCACCTTTGTAAAATCACTATAAGATAAACATGTTTATCTACTAAGAGCATGCTAACGAAAATTATGGAAATAGGACTAAGTAGAGTCAAATTCGGTCTGTAATAGTGCGGGTAATTTACAAAATAGGACGACCATGAAGCGTGAGTTCGATTTGTTAATTACGAGTATGATTACCGACATTCCTGTTACCAATAAATCAAAACTAAGATTGTAATCTTGTAGTTATCGAACTTAATTCCAGGGAGAACGTTTCTGTATCTGGAGGTCAAATTGTTGCTCCACTGGACGCCACTTTGTTCTTCCCGTTTACGAAGAACACTGTTTCGGAGTGACGTCACCTGTTTTGCTAAATAAATTTCGCCTCTTCAGCTTTAGCAATAGAACATGACATTTTAACGTCACACATGTTTGAGCAAAACGGAAAATCCTTCACCAAATATCTTTTAGATTAAACAAACATATATGTTAAGTTTTATCCAGAATATTTAACTATTATTTTACATCTTTGCTTTTTGACTTATTTCACACAGCATTTATGTAACAGTAAATTGTCGAGTTATGGGTAGTGGCTAGACCTTGCTTGGAGCCGGTCTAGAAAAGGAAAAATAAGGCGCTTCCTTCCCTCCACTAGCCTGGGTGGACACCTTGGGCAAGTGTTAGCATACCCTTAGCCTCCCTTAACCAGGGTTACGGTCCCACTGCCTTGTGGTGGCTAGGGATAGCCAAAGGCTAAGGGAGCAAACCCCGACAGAAAAACCGGAGTGGAGCCCCGTAAGGCAGTTTTGACGCTATATCATTTACTGGCAACTCCTGCAGTCGACCTGGTCCCGAACGTACTGGCCCTGCCTTTCCTTCGGACTCTACCAGCAAGACCGAGAGGGGGATTCTGGGACTTGGGCAAACCAGTATCTCTATATCAACCGCCCAGGCAAGCGCATGGAGAGGCAACTTCAGCATGCCCTACGGCTTCGCCAGGCATGGAAACAAACCGGGGAGTGGTAGTTACCGGTTCTAAGTCATGGCTTGATTGGCGTAGAGCCAGACGCCAGGGGCCATTCCTAACAGTGGGAGGGGCTTTTTAGCCCTATTGAATAGATACCACCCGCTTAAACTGGGCAGCCCCCAGTCAACAAGGTGCTTTCCCGCCACTGCCCGCCTGTCTTGCTGGGGTGACCAGGACTTACGTCTGGAAACAGTCTGACAAGTGGGCTGCGACTTATTCACCTAAGAATCAAGGATCTATTAGAAGAAGACCAGCTCTTACACTTGGGAGTTGGAATGTCCGAACGATGCTGACCGGACTTACCAAGGACATACGCGACATTGATGGGGCACGCAAAACAGCTGTCATCAGCAGAGAATTGGTTAGGCTCAAAGTTGATATCGCTGCTTTACAGGACACGCACATAGCTGGTTGCGGAAGCCTAACGGAAAAGGAATACACATTTTTCTGGCAGGGTAGAGATGAAGATGAGCCTAGAGTACATGGAGTTGGTTTTGCTGTTAGCAACAAGCTAGTACAGATGGTGGAACCAGGCTCAACCAAGTCTGAGCGCATCATGCACATAAAACTCAATACCGATCTAGGTCCTACCAACTTGCTTTCTGTCTACGCTCCAACCCTGACTTCGAGTACCGATACCAAGGATACCTTTTACAGCCAATTGGATGATGCTATCAAACATATCCCAAACAACGAAGTGCTGATTCTCCTCGGCGATTTCAACGCTAGAGTGGGCAACGATCAAGGCTCCTGGCCTGATTGCCTTGGTCACTTTGGCGTTGGCAAATGCAATGAAAATGGTCAACGCCATCTGGAGCTTTGCACCTATCATCACCTCTGTATTACAAACACATTCTTTGGCGTGAAGCTGCACCATAGGTTCTCGTGGATGCACCCCAGATCTAAAAACTGGCACCAACTCGACCTCATCATCTCAAGACGGGAACACCTTAATAACATTCGTACTACAAGAGCATACCACAGTGCTGATTGTGACTCTGATCACTCCCTTGTCTGCACGAAGATCCAGTTACGTCCAAAGAAGTTCCATCGCGTCAAACAATCTGCTACACTTCGCATTAATGCTTCTGTCACCACCATCCCTGAAAATGTCTCTATTTTCAACGACATCCTGAGCTCGAAACGCGGAGACACCCTGGAGCTTAACACAGAGGACCACTGGAGCCATATCAAGGACACCACCCTTGCTGCAGCATTAAAGGCCTTTGGCAAGAATGTACGCAAAAGCCAGGATTGGTTCAATGCAAACATCGCGACTCTTCAGCCGCTCATCAAAGCAAAGAGGAATGCCCTGCAGAACTACCAGCGTAATCCATCATCTAGCTCTTTGGAAGCACTTCGGGAGGCCAGGCGTCGTGCGAATGTGAAATGTAAGATCTGTGCTAACAACTTTTGGATGAATCTCTGTGCTGAAATCCAGGCAGCTGCTGACACTGGAAATTGTAGGGGGGCATGTTTGAGGGTATCAAGAAGGCAATTGGACCTACACAGTCCAAGTCCTCACCACTCAAAACATCAACTGGTGAAATCATTACTGATAAATCAAGACTGATGGAGTGCTGGATGGAATACTATAGCGAGCTCTATCATAGATCGAGCTCTGTCTTTCCCTCTGTCCTTGACTGCATTGAAAGGCTTCCCATCATGTTTGAACTAGATGAGCCCCCCACCAAGGAAGATCTCTCAAAGGCAATCAGTCACACATCGTCTGGAAAGGCCCCTGGGCTTGATGGT